GTTTGAGATCCAGACCAGGAATATCACACGCAGGACTAGACCGGCCACTCAGGCATAGCTCTTCGTCAAAAATTCGCCGAGCCTCCGCAATCCCTTCGAAGATGATTTGATGGATGTCTGAGATATGGAAGATCACATTCGACCAAGCCGGTATCTCTCCATCGGCATGCCAGAAAGCCGGTGAAACTTCGGTCTGACCAATCCGGAAGCCGAGTAGCCAATTCTCTAGCAATTCAACAATGGGACCCTCCGTGTCATTCAACAGTCACTGGTCCCGAATATCGACGATCATAGCTCCAATGTCCGCATCCTGGTTATCCCCTGCCACCGCTAACACTTGGGCAAGTACCACCATCTGGCAGTCGTAGATCAACTGCGACAAAATTGATGTATAGCTCCGGACGCGCATCCACGAGTCATCCTCGTGGCTCCAAAAGCGCACAGCAGCATACGACACAAGAACAGAATCAAACTGACGACGGTGCAAAGAGTGTTGGATGATGGCAAGGCTAAACTCGAGAACAGCCCGATCGAGTCGATCACAGAAAGCCTGGGTGCCTAGGAGTTAGAAACAAAAAAAAAAACATCATTTCACTCATCCTGGACATACCTCGTCGCGATCGGCGTCCGTTGGGCTGGCGAGTTCGCTCGCGGCGTCGGTTACCTCGCACCATGCTTCGAGCTGTCGATCACTCGGTTTGAAGAGCGATTACCGGAGATGGCCTTGCTCAACGACTCGGTGCCAGTAGTAGATCAACCCCTGCCAAGTTTCGATATATTTTTGACGAGACTTCTGGTCCTGCAATGTCGTGATGGGATCCTGGGAGATTTCCCTCCGCGTGAAAGTATTGAGCAGTCGTGTATTGCGCCGGCTGACGGTTGGGGCCGCTACGTTCTGGTCATGCGCAAGGACATTCATCGTTTTCTCCAAGACCCGTCCGATACTCTCACAGATCAGGAATAACGACGGCTCTTCTTGCGCCATAGGAAGGTCATAGCTAGGACCGAGTTCATTACGCTTTAGCTCTAAGAGATGGACATGGATACCGGTGCGCTTCATCCACGGCGTAAGCTCGGAGACATGTCGTGCCTCCGTCCATAACGAATTTCGTTGCTGTTGAAGTCCAGCTCGGTACCGTTCCATAATTTGATCCCATGCATTATCAGGAACAATGGGGGGAGGTGATTGGACGTCACTGGAATATAGGAAAAGGTTCGTATATGGTCATATTCACACGAGGTAAAGAAACAGATAGGTACTTACCAGCGGGTAGAAGCTGGGGCGACATTGTTTGGTGCATTGGCCCGGGGGTGTATATATTGTGGGGTAGCGGACTGGTGGACTTGGTCTGCCAGAACTACTGAAAAGTGCTGTTGGTATTGCTTCTGCTGAAATAACGTTTGCATGTATGCCTCATTCCATGGCATAGCCCCTTGCTGCAAAACTTTCCACTGATGCACTTCATTATAGTGTTTCCGAATCCGGTCGTTGTTAATCGAACGAAAGTCGCAGTCAGGGAAGTGGCAGAGAAAGCCCAGTGCGGCCGGCAGCCCGCAAATCTCGTTAGTACCATCTCGAGGCTGCACAACATCAGCACTAGAGGTAGCGACGTCGTTCAATCGACTCGATGATTCGATTCTCTGCCGTTCTCTACGTTTTATCTGATGCTTCTCTAAAAGGTGCCTGGAGAGGTTCTGTCGTGTATAGCAGCAGCCGTGGGTAGTGCAGAGGATAACATGGAAATCTGGCAGGACTCGAAGGTACGATGGAAAAGCATCACGTTCTGCTTCCACCATTGATGCTGCGAAACTGTTACTGCGCTCAGATATAATAAATAATCGAAAAATTTAGATCCTGCCAAACAGAATGCAAAAAGATGTAGTGATTTAGTTGTGGGGATATATTGGACTGCGCGCGCCCAGACATAATTAAACTACTCTGATCATACCGAACAAACTGCAAAAAGATGCAGTGATTATGGTAGTGGGGACAACTTTGATAACAGCGTGAATTCCTAGAGGGATTTCAGCTAGCGTCTTCCATGTAAATTACTTAACGCCGGAGTCTTGTGTTTGTCAAAATTTCTGAATCACGCTGTTATCCGACGCCTACGATATGTTGTCATTCTAGGTCATCAACACAATTCTTTCGAGAGGATAAATCGTCTGAAGAAGCGAACACACATGTTCGTGAAAGGATAATCCTAACGTCCCTCTCGAACCATTTCAATTGCTTCTTCAGCAACAATCGTTATATCGGCAATGCCTTACATTTTAATCCTAACGTCGCTCTCGAACATCGTACACCTTGCTCCTTCAGAACACCTTCGTGAAATTGGCACCTCCCCACTCCTCACGCCACAGTCGCGCCTGGTTTCCATACATTCGACACTCAATATTAAAGAATTTCTATCAATCGACTTACGAATATGACTTTCCCCTCCTCTTGGGCTTTAACTCCTCCGCCCAACTCCGTACACTCATTAAACCCATCGTTTCGCTACAAAACATTATGTTCCAGTGGATATGCCAAGGTCACCGAGGGCATGAGCTAAACTACTGCATTGCCGGCGACCTTTCCCCCCCCCTCTCCCCACCGCATACAGGCACTCGTGATGCGCTTCCAAGCCAAAATAACCACTTTGCACTCCGACAACCTTCTCCTTTCCGTAGTTACCCATCTTCGCCAACTCCCCATTGGAGTCGTCAGGAGGAACCGGAGGCACAAGCAATGGATGCTTTCCGCAACGTTGGCCAACACACGGATTATACTTCTATCCACCGTGGCAATTGATTCCCAAGGTTCTCAAGAAGTTACAGGCAGACAAAGTGCGGTCGGCAGTACTTCTGACTCCAACATGGCCCACGCAATTCTGGTGGCCAATGGTGTTGACCAGAGCACGGAAATCACCGATTACCTTGCCAGTTTGCCGCCAGTGGTCTTTGACCGCATGTCTCTTGTAGCAGCAATTCCAAGGAGTTGGAACGCTGAGTCTCAATACTTGTTAAAGGCACTCCATAAACGGACGCATACAATGTACAACACATTGGAGAAGTTGGGCCGAATGATGCCTGAAAAGGTCACTCCCTTTAATCCTTTGGCACATAACCCGCATCCACTCCTTCAATACCTGGTGTCATCGAACTCAAAGTCGTTCGGACATCTCAACACTTTGCACTGTAGAATTATCTCGATCTTGGATTTAGCCTATCAAGACCGACCATCAATACCAAAACATATTTTGATCAAACAATTCTTCAAATCACAACGTCATGCCAACCCGGCGATTCCCAGTACAATGCGAGAAGTCTACAGTCTGAAACCAATCTTGCATCTCATCTCAAGCTGGGGTAACACCAACGATTTGACCATCGAACAACTTCAACAGAAGACGGTGTTACTGATCGCAATCGCCACAATGTGGAGACCAAGATCGGATCTAGGAACATTGCAAAGTAGAGACATAAAATTTACAATGCAAGAGAATGTCCCCACAGCGGTGACGCTCATGGTGCGGGAGCCAAAAGAACGGCATCCGAAGAAATCTTTCCTTGGCATCATTGGCGAACAGGAGATGTGTCCGGTGAGGACCTTGTGGAAGTTTGTCCACAAGACCAAGGAGAAACGAATCAATTTACCGGAAGACCACACTTTGTTCTCCCAAAAGTAAAACAATTGACCTTCCAAGTTGCAATAATACACCTACCGCATTGGCCGTCGGCGCTCTGGTCCCCACTGCTAACCTCAATGGCGATAGAACCTCCATTTCTCCTAGACCTCAAAACGCAGAAAATGTTATCCATTCCGCCATTTACCCATGGACAAATCCGATTGGAAACTTTCCGTCTGGAAACTATCAGGAAAGCGGTTCGAAGGGCAAGGATATTCACCATCCGCCATTCAGTCCTTAATCCAAGCGGTGGTACATCAAACAGGGCCCAAATCACCTTATCGTCATGCCCAGTATCTTTTTCTTCAGTGACAACTAGGAATGAGATCAACCCCTACACATTCACGTCCTCGGATCTGACCAACTTACTTTCGGAAGCATTAGTGGCTGTTTACAGTTTTAGCGCAGTGCAAATTTTCCGATCAGCAGTTTGCCTCCTACGCAAGGATCCGGACCAAATCCGACTCTCCACAGACCTGAAAGCTTTGCTGAACCCAATACCTTATGCTTCCTCAACTCCATTGGCTGAACTGAAAACAGCTTTTCTTTTGGCCGTGGCTACCTTTCTACGTCCCTCGGATCTCGAATGCATCAGTCTACATAATTGCATAGTTACTAGTCACGGTGATTTGGCTATCAAGGTGGTCGCACCCAAAGAACTTCGTGCCGGTCGAAGAATTGTCAAAACGCTTACTATACGCCGTAATGACAATTTCAAAAAAGTATGTCCAGTCCGGTCGTTCAAGGCTTTAAAATCGCATCCATTGGCACCCAAGCGACAATCCAATAAGCTACTGGTCAATGCTAAGGATCCCACTAGGCCCCTGAAAACTACCACTATCTCTACATGACTTCGCAATTTGATGCGCCTCTCGACTTCGATAAAACCGATTCCCTCAGTCCGCTCCGGTGCGTCTGACCTGGCCTTAGCCAGGGTGCTCTGTTGTGATGTAATCTAGTCTGTAAAATTCAATATTTGTATTTCGTTGTTTGTAGACCTGGAATCTCGTGACTAAACTCCGAGTACGTATATCAGTTTGCCCAACCGCTTCTTTCGAAAATAGACAAGAGTTGTTCTAATTTCTGACTGGTACTTTATCACTGGAGCGTTTACACAGGCCATTGGATAGTGCCTTGTATCATTCCATAAACACCGTCAAACTACAGTCTTCTCTCGTGTAAATCCCAAGTCAACTGACAGAAAACGTTTCCGTTGATACTCATAACAGTATCAACCAGTGACATTACCGAACTACTGACGTCATCACAACAGCTCCATTGTCCGACGTCATCAACGGGAAACTGGTCATCTGCAGAGGTGTTTGATAACCACTATCGTCACCAACGACTACAAAAGCAGAATATCACAAATTTTGTTTTAAGACTGTAGCTCTTCCTTGCCATATATACACTGAAGCAGCTTCTCTAGGCTCATGTTCGTTCAGTCCTCCGGACTGAACTAGTAAATAGGTTAAAGCCCGACTTATTTCTAGATGTATGTTATTGTGGTCAATGAAAAGATTACTAGATGAAGACATATAGCAATAAAGCATTCTCTTGATTTCAAACGTATCGTAATATAAGCGAACCAAACCAAACCAAACCAAATAAAATCTGGTTATAACCAAACTAAACACTAGATCGAACATAGAACGTAGTGTCGTTCAACGCCGATCATAAAATGAAGTCGCAAATATCACATCAAACATGGAACGATGTCACATACATAACATCGTCGAATCTAACAAAGCCTCACACCAACATCAATCCATCCAACTTTTTTAACATGACTATCATAACCTTATGCAACGGTCCATGAAGAATACCGTACGCGGCGATCATATAAACATCTTACAAAAAAGAAATAAGGCACGTGTATTTCAAGGTATATTTTCAAAGACAAATTATATGGTGTATAGGGGCATAGAAATGTAAATGAAACCGTCCTACGACTAATGCAACATATATATTGATTGACTTGCTGACTTCAAAGATCAAAGAAATGCATGGAGTCGCTTTTAGCTTCTTGGCTGGCGATGAAACACAAGATGTAATGCAAAAACATCGTTTTTGTGATGGCGAAGGTGTGCGAAACCTGGTAGTAATGACTTCAACTTCTTCCTGATGCTCGTCGTCATCGCCAAAATTATAAGATTCTACTTCATTAATCATATCACGGATTGATACTTTGGCTTTCCAGGTAAGCTCTATCACCTTGAGAACGCTTAGAAATGATTTGATGTTAGTCGGGATTTTGTAAGTCGAGTAGGTAAAACGCGACAGACATATCCAGCTGAGCAATCCGTAGCCAGCATTGTACTAAGATCGCTATGCAAAACTCCAGCTGTCTAAAGTTGCAGCAATTGATCTTTCATCATCTTCGTCAGTTTCAGATCGCGTTCCAATAACGGTTTTGTACCCTTCTCGCCGTTATTGCTTTTCCCTTATTTACCACATGGGTACTCTTTTTGTAGTTTTCGAATCTGGAAATCAGCGCGATTACCCTTAATTTGACGTTTATTTGCAGTGGTCGAAGCCGCAAGCAGCCCGGCTTAAAAAAAAAAAAAAAAAGAAAAAAAAGCCAAGCAGCCGGCTTTCGTTCTTTCGAAGAGCAGAAGCAATGCTTGCAAATTCTCCTCTGATGACATGTACTGCATCAAGGTCCCCAAGCCATCTGTCAAATACACTCCGAATATGTGAGATATACCATACTTCTAAATGATTTTGGGAAAGTTGGAAGCATTTATTTTCCATCATTATACTATGGATTACATTTTGAATCCAATCCTTATCAAATGACTTCTTCTTTTCGTAGGCGACAATGGACCCTTATGTCAACCGACGACATATTTCATCAAGACCTTTTTGCTTTTCTTGGTAATTGCTCATCTTCAGCTTTCGAAATCGACAATCCAAATCGTAGTAGTAGGTGATATTTGTTAAATTGTCCATGCGGATCGCATGCTGCACAGTATCGATGTTGGCTGTCTTCAATGACTCTATACCGTATAAGACTTCTATTGTTTGAGGAGATGCTTGTCTCCGGAATTGTTCACGTTTCTCCTTGGATAGATTGAAGTTGCAAAGTTCGAAGTTTTTGACATTGGTACGCGGAAATTTCATTTAGTTCTTCTTTGGTAAAGATATTCAGCTGTTCCCATGTTGGATCCAATGGATTGATGATGAATGAATGCGCCACATGTTCCTGCGTAGATCTACGGTAAATTCATGTAACACGTCTTCCACTTTCCTTCCACTTTCCTTCCACTTTTCAACATCCACTTATGAGTATCATCGAATAAAGCATACTGGCTATTGTGTTCTTGTCAAAGGCCCCTTTCTTGTATGCTTGGCGCTAACGCCTGTAACCCAATGTTAGCGTAAATTTATGCAATGAAGGTTATCAAATGGATTCTCTTATCCTACCTGTATGCTCGCGTTGGTAATGATCTTTTAGGTCCTCAGTCATTGAAAACTGATTTTGGCAAATAGTGCACCCATATAGTTTCGTTGATGCTTGAATCTCTTTTCCAACATGGACATCCTTTGGACGCGCGTTATTATTAATATGTACATTTCTTTTAGCATAAAACCCCTTTTCTCACCTCAGGATTCTTAGGCATATGGTATCCGCGTTGACCCTTGCCAACTTCTAATTCAGGCGATTCAATTTTATATGTCGTCGAAGACTGTCTTGTCATGCCTGGCTCTTTTGCTTTTTCAAAGGTGATGCAACACATGAAGGTATACATAGGCGTCGTTTATTTGGTGTCGCCGGCGAAGGTGTCCTAAGTCTAGCTGTCATCACATCGACATCAGCATGCTCACCGTCGTTATTACCACCATATGATTCCACTTCTTTTATGATATCTCGTATCACTGCTTTGGCTTTCCAAGTGAGCTGTATAACGTTGAGAAGCACAAGAAACGTTGTGGTATAATCCTCCTGGATGACAAATTCGACGCAATTCTGTGCGATGTAGCTGATGTTAACGATCTTGGTTAACATGAAGTGGAGAGAGAATAATCGGGATTCAAGTTCTTTATAGCTTGTCCTAGGTATTCCGTTGACGTATATGCGTCGCAAGCCAAGACGTTGTTCAGTGGAGCTTTGGTGTGGCATACGTTTTTGATGGAAGAAAGCAAGAGCGCTTTGGGCTGCTTCAGCGTTCGCCTCAGGTTTGTTGGCTACCAGTTTCTGTGCTATGGAGGAATAACTTTGCTTAGACCGGTTAGTGGAAGTGGAAGTAGCAGCTTTGTTGGCAATAGCAGCGTAAGTGGGAGTTTGTGGAGGATGTTCAGCTTTCCAAGGTCGAGGGTGAGCTGGATATTTTTATATTGTTAGTATTGTGAGGACGTATTCCAACCGTGGTATTGTTTTCAGAAGCGTCGTCTACGATATCCATGTCTTTAGTTGGGACTTCTGTTGTTGGAAGCGTAGCGTATTGAGACATCATTGCAGTCTTGGTAATCCATGATTAGAATCAATGTGTGGAGTCCAAACTGCATAAAGTTAGGTTTGTTGTCGTTGAGGAAATCAGTGATTGCGAATGGTACCATGGAGTGATAGACTTTGCCACAGTAAGGTATTTGAGAAAGATGTGAAAACTCATTAACTGTGGCAGGGATGTCTAGGAGCTTTCCTTTCGTACTGCGTGTCACATAGCCGTCAGTAAGGTTCAAGTTCGTCATTTGTAGTGCGAGACCTATGGCACTAGCGAAAAAGAAAGTTCGCTTGGGGTTGAGCTCGCACATACAGCCAAATGTTTCCTCGCCATTTTACTGAGTTTCGGATATGCTGCTTCTTTCATCTTCCATATATTGTAGTACATCAAAAGAGCCTGTTGCCGAACTGCACCGGGGAAGACCAAACCGTCTGACGGCCTGATTAGGCCAGCACTCCACAACTGGTGGTCGAGCTCTAGCTTCGACTGCTTTTGTTCGTTCCAGGACATCCGATAGGGCCGACTCGTCACCAAATTTTCGTCTTTCGTCCCAATCCTGTGCACAGCGTCATGGATCGCACCGAGATGGTTCCAAGGGCGCTGACTATCAGTCCGCTGCTTTAAGATGCATCGAAACAATCCATAACATTTCGTTGTCCTGGGCCATCGTGCGTTTCCTCAGGCGTTGAAAAGTCTTGAGCCAGGACAGAGAATTTTCCGTCACTCCTCCTGAGAACGAGGACGGCTTCTCTGCGTAGAAGCGCATGTCGCTATTGAATGCTGGTTCTGTAGACATGCTACAAGCCAGGTTGCGTTGCGTTGCTTAGCTTAGCTTACTTGGAGAATAGATTGAAGTGGTATAGTCCTGTAGTGAGCACCAAATGAAAGACGCATAAGTCGACACGATCGACAACATCTCGAGGTCATGCTCATAAACATCATTACCTTCTTTAACCGCTGGAAGGTCTTTAACCACGACAAGGCGTTTCGCTAGCCCTCCAGAGAACATTTGCAGCTTCTCAGGTTATTGGGAAGGATCAGTGTTAACAGTTTGGATCGCGCATCAATGTCCAGCCCTGAGACAAGGCAGAGAAAAAAGGTGATTTTTAAGGGTCCGAACACTCAGGATATTTACATACGCCGTAGCAACAACAAAAGCAACGCCACGCAGTGCTTCGATAAAATATATCACGAAAATAATGCTGTAGACGCTTGTCGCTTTGTATGCCGCAGTTGGCAAAACTCGGCAGGCTTACTCTGCTGAGCAATTCTTTAACAACAGCTTTGCATGAAGACCGAAATGCAAGATTCCGGTTATTGCCAATCTTCTAGTTGTATACTCATCCTCATCACAGAACTTGAAAAGTTGTTCCTATTGGTCTATCATCTTTGGCATTTTCAGATCGCGTTCCAGCAATAATTTGTTATTCTTTTCCCTAATATATCTTCCTACATGGAAATTTTTCGAAGCTGCAAGGCGGTTTTCATTTTTGCGAACACCAGAGGCTATGCTTGCAGACTTTTCTCGGATGACTTGAACTTCATCAAGGTCATTGAAGCACCTATCAAAGGCACTCCATATGTAGGAAATGTACCATGTCTCGCGATCATTTTGAGTCAATTGGCGGCATTTGATTTCCACCAATATGCTAAGAATAACATTACGCATCCAGTCCATATTAAACGACTCTTTTTTGTTGTAGTTAGCGTCAAAATCTCTTTAAGTCCATAGAGTGGTGCGTATTTGCTGTTGGCCAGTCAAGCTGAATTCGTTGATAAATGTTTTAAGGTTTAATGGAAGTACTGGAAGTTTGTTGCACTTGTACGTCGAAATCTCATATGATTCATCTTTTGTAAAGATATTCAGTTGCTCCCATGTTGAATTCAGTGAGTTCATCATAGATGAATGGGTTGCATGCTCATTATTTGATGTGAGCGCAAATCCATTAAAAAAATTCTTCACGTTTCTTCAACTTCCATTTTCGAGAACCTTCAAAATAAACATACAGTTGATTGTGTTCACGTAAAGTAAGTTGGTCACAAGAACATCTGTCTCGAGCGAGACTGCATTATATCCATAACAAAGTTCTACCAAATAGGAAAACAAGGATCAGCATACAACAGCAATAAGCTGTTTTACAAACACACCATATGGATACCAATTTTCTGCCATTTGCAAGCCTTATTAGAAACATAAACTGACAATACAAATTTTCCTTTCTCCTACTTTTTCTCTTCATTTCTCAGCATATTAATACACTAAAAATTGACAGCTGCATGCTCCATGCCTTAAAGTAAAGTGTAACAAACGAAACTCTTGGAATATTGGCTATTTGTACGCGCAATGCTATCAGAAGACATATTTCGGACTATTGTGGTTTTAGCAAATCCCTCTTCTATCACGATTTTATTAGTAAACCTGATACTCCTTTGACAAGTTCTTGTTACTTTCGTAATAAAACCCTTATACTTCACTCTACTTTGACAGGAGCGGATCTCGAGCAGCTCCCAATTATATTCCCTTTTTATTTTGTCTCCAAGTCATGAGAGGACTTGTTTTTGTCATAAAAAAAACTTTACATAGCTTGTAACTCACCCAAAAAACACTCTATTTTTTCCTGAAATCTCTCCATCTACGCACTGTGTGAGGCCTTGCTATGATCTGTAGTGATGATGGAATCATAAAATATTGAGTATAGTTATAAGAATAGGTGAGAAACAGGCGCTGTTCAGTGGTCGGTGCAGGACAGTGTTGAGAACCTAATGTTTACATACATTGCGATAAACCATCCAGAGAGACTTGTATTGGCGTGCATGGATGACTGGCTTGAGGTTGAATGTGAATTGTGGTACGTAAGTTAAAATAAAGAAAAGGAAGGGTAAAATATCAAAGAGAAAGGGAGAAGAAGAAAATTTTAAACAGATCAGTGCTTCATCAAAAGCTTACAAGCTCCATTTTTTTTTTTTTTTTTTAGCAGACTCTTTAAAGCTCTTACCTTTTCCCAACTCCTCTGTCTCCAAGTCCTTCTACAACTCATTGTCAGACATCTCCGACTACGAAGAAAATAACCAGAAATATGAGTAATGAGAGAGAGGTGTTCTCGTAAGAGAACAAATCTGTCCAACAAGAGCTTAATCTCAGCGGATCGTACCAACAAGGGTACTCTGCCGCTTACAATACTCCGTTGTATATTCAAGTCGTCTGCAAAGGATTTTACATCTCCAATATTTGAGATTATCATGCGCCAGAAGACCAGCAAATCTTTCCGTTTACTAGCCTGACCTAACAAAATATGATTCAGGACACAAGGTCTATTTGTATTCAACTCAATATGGAAAAATCACATCATCGCTTCCAGCATGGATTCTAACTTAGAGGCGTTCAGCTATAATCCAGCACATGGTAGCTTCGCGGCATTGTCTTCTCAGACAACCGCAAATACCAATTATGTGAATGAAGGGTTCCTCTCGTACTAACTTCAATTACTGTTGCGACAACAACTTCATCAGTAGGGTAAAACAAACCTGTCTCACGACGGTCTAAACCCAGCTCACGTTCCCTATTAGTGGGTGAACAATCCAACGCTTACCGAATTCTGCTTCGGTATGATAGGAAAAGGCACATCGAAGAGTCAAAAAGCAACGTTGCTATGAACGCTTGGTTGCTACAAACCAGGTATTGTATATATAGATTACTTTCTGTGAATATACGTGGACCTCTACCCGACTATTTTTCTCATTCCATAATCCCCCTTTAATTCAACAGAATGTAAGAATATGATGGTCATGTTCGAGCTAACCGTCATAAAATAGTTAAGATGAAGGAGAATATCTCATTAAATATTTAGAAGTGATAGCACATTAGATCAATGTCGGATGGGATGATGATTTATAACATAAGGGTGAATATAAGGGTCAAGTTACTGGTTAGGTGTAACATTTAAAGGGTCAAGGGTCGGGATAAATGTAAGATTAGTCACGTGAGGGTTAAGACAAGGACAACACTTCCCTTGGGTGAAGATAGATGCTTTGTTCAGATTTTAACATCACCAATGAGAGAAAGAATCGAAATAACGCATGCTTGCCACGTTTGTATAAAGCCATATACAACCAAACGGAGACTCACGCAGCATCTCAATAAATATCATGGTAAGCTCCTATTACGGGACGAACTGTATTGCGCCTTTTCCCAACAATCTTTTTAGCATTTACGGTTGAGCACAATGACTCCAAACGAGCCGCAAACGATAGGTATATCTCATTCGAACTGTACTATTCACACAAATCAATCTTGAACGCCTTTTTAGATACGTTTATGTGGATGAAAACGCCGATGCAACTCATTTTGGCTGCCTGCTTTGCTCTCACCACTTCCCGTTACTACCTGATCTGAAGAAGCACTATGAGCTGATCCATAATAACGGTATTTAAGCTTCAACCGTATAATATCACAAGATGTGAAAAAATCTGACACCATTATCTGTTCTTTGTATAGCGTTGAATGAGGATAATAGTGTTGTCAGTGATCATACCGTCATATCTCATGCCGAGCAGAGCAATCCCTTTGGTAATTTCATGACTGATAAAGTGATATTGTGGTAGCGTCATTAAATGACAAGATATTTTAGAAGAACAAGTTGTACAACCTGGCGATTCTGATACACAGCAATCCATAGATGATGTTGGTCAAGGATCAGGGAACATGGTGGAAGAAGTTGTAAGTTTGTATCTTCATATTTTGTCGCAAGGTGGTGATGAGGTATTAAGTCTTGATTTTTTTTTCTTTTCTCCAGGTGTTGGAAACACGGAAGAGAAGCAGAGAGGAAGATTCATTGCAAACACCTTTGGATGGGCCAGGGGGTTATCGCCCGAAGATGACAGGAGAAAGCTTTGAGGAGCACAAGCAAAAGTATCTGACTATGAAAATGAATTCAAATGGATGCTACAATCTGGTCGATTTGTCGAGGATATTTTGTATGAAGCTGGAAAGGGCATCTTATATGAGCAGTAAGTAACAGCACACAAGCTTCGACAAGGCGTTTTCAATTCACCTTGCTTCTTTTTTTTTCAGTATGTTCCATTCGTTTGCGTATGGTCTGTAGCGAGTCTTTCGTTGACTTCTTATTTCCAGTGTTATATGGCAAAGGTATGTAGATTGACCGATAGCGATGATTGCTGATCAGACGACGTACTTCTATCGACCAATGCCATCGTTAAAAAAAACCTTTAATATTTTTCATGACTATGGACAGTTATCTGTTGTTGATGTGTTTTCATAGAAATTGAGACTATTTAGTATGGGCAAAGTTGAAGGAAAAAGTCCCATGAACTTGTGACAAAATTGTTATGGATATATAATATTTTGTGCTGACGGCGCTGTACAACATAAGTAGCTGCAGTGACGACCATGAAATAAGAGGCTGAAGGCGATGCAAAGGACGGTAAATTTGTAAGAAAGAAAAGGTGTTATGTTCCGTTTGTGTAAGCCAATAAGGTAAGTAATGGGAATGTTCTAGTGGTGGCCGATGGTCGTTTCCAAAAGGAAGGAGTTGGCCAAAGTCACCAAATATCACCACGGGGTAAGCCATCCCGCGAATGCATTCAGAACCGGTTGCATTGCGGAGTGTATTCCCTAGATTATCCACCATCGTGCAAGATATCATGGAGCATTCGTCAATTAGGAATAACGTTTGGGGTTATCTTTGAGGAAGTGATCTAATTGTATGCTGTTTGTTCAACGGGTTAGATCATATCAAAAAAAGGCGCTAATGAGTAATTGTGAGTGTGGAAGGGATGTGGAATAAGGTATATGGTAGGACTTGTTAAAAAAAAAGTTGTATAAGAATAGTTAGTTAGAATGTTTTTTGCTAAAGCCGTCCTAACTATTGGAATGCCTGGAGTAGTACCTAGGGATGTAGTTGGAGCTGACGAGGTAGCAACATGAAGGTTTGAGAAGTCAAGACTGTTGTATTCAGTACGAAGTTCATAGTCTTCTATGGTTAAAAAATCACCAGTGATAGTTTGCATAGTGTTGAAAATTTCTATGGGAATAGCAGCGGGCTGAAATATTTTTCAACTTTGAAAGCATTTAAAATAAGTTGAGCCCCGTGGGCCCAGCCGACATGATTTTCAAAAGCCATATGCAACTACATACAAATGCCAGGTAGATTCGGGTGTAATGTCAGCTTCTGTTAAAACTTGTGGTGAAACACACACACGAATTGGCAGCGGTTTATGAAAAAATGTTAACAATGGATGGGAACACAAAAGTAGATCATATACTCATTCATTCCATATACATCGAAAATAGCGTTTTCGTTATCGGTTGTAGGATAACTGATGTTTTGAGCATATATAAATCCACAAGTCATTGCGAAGAACATGTTAAAGAGATTAAAAACAGTTTGGTGTCTGGTATTTTCCTTTTTTCTTAAGGTGGTGTTGTTCTTTGAAATAACTTTTGTGCAACAATGGTGATGATAGCAAAATAATGTGGGGGGTCATAAAATGTTGGGGGTGGGAGGAAATAAGTTGCCTGTTTTGAACAAGATTGGTGGGTTACATTGATGCGGCCACGCGACATGGTTTTGGGTTTGATCAAAATAATCTTATTTTAGGAAGATTGATGGATGGCGTTTCATCGTTGTCGAATAAAAAGATGAAAACTTTTAGAAAGATGGAAATTCTAAATCATCTTTTCAAAACATCATGTACGTTACTCTAACCGGATCATTAACGTCTCTTCCTGTGTGGAGTTCCAGTGAGGTGAAGATGAGGAAGGCGAAAGCCGACCTGGATTTTGCAGCCTACTTTTTAGTAAGAGAGGGAACGACAAGAGTGCTTTGCAATGTTTCCAGTCTGGCCATTTTGGAATTTCTTCGTGAAGGCAATATTTCTGTTGGAGATAAGGTCCATATTGGTGGTAAGGTTTCCCATCTTGGTCGTTTTTTCATTGTTGCAATGTAACTGAACGCTTCGTTTTCACATGCTAGGTGATCTTTCTGCCAAGATGTACCGTAGTGGTGTATCCCTTTCCGTGAACGTGGATTTCCTAAGGTTGGCAGAAACCTTCTAACCTGACGTGCAGCCAAGCAGGAATATCACCACTCTCAGAGCCAGCGATCAATCAAAGACCACTGTTGAAGACATGCTAAGCTATCTCCAGCCGAGCACCACTGCCACGGTCAAGGATGGTTTTGATGCTGACAGTCTAAGGGAAAAAATGAAGCAAGCTGAAAAAGCGTACGCAAAATCTGTCAAGGAAGCCCAGAAGTTGGCGGTAAGTGCTGGAAATGGACAAGACGAAGAAAATGACTCAAGTAAATCTGTAATTCTGTCAAGCCATTATGAGGAAGAAGAAATCTCTAACATGGAACTTGACATGGAGCTTGAGGGATTGTCAACACAGACGATCGAACCTCAGCATCCGATTGGTCAGAGTTGTCTGGCCTCATCCGTAACTGCAAGAGCAACTGGATCATATACGCATTGGAGTGAAGATGGTGAAGTGAAAAACTGAGTGACTACCTTTGGCTGAAAATAATAAAAGCTCTTTGATGATGCCGAAATTTTTCTGTATGCTTAATGATCTTGATTTGAATTTTCTTTTTTTGGCGTACTGGATGATATAAAATAAACAAATGTTAGAGAATCAGTAGATGTTTTCGATGGAATGGTGATAGATTATTGGACGAGAGGTTATGTATCATATGACCCTGGCACCTTTGGTATTCGCGTGAAGATAAGATGGTGTTGGTAGATGATAAAGTCTCATACAGGAACGATTCATGATGGTAACAATATCACAAATTTGGCAAATTTGGCATGTCAAGGGTTTTTTCTTTTGGTACCAGTCATCTTCCACTGTAATCCACGATCACGTTGCTGATAATTCGACTACATTAATTTTGTTACGGTGGAAAAGGTCGGGTGCCTTAATTATGTCCGACTCTATGCGTCAAGCTGTCATTTTACGAGTAACTTGTCCCTACTGCGAACGAAGCGGATTTGTTCATTCTAACCTTAGAAAGCATATGTTAAGTCATGGTAGGCAAGAAGCTTGATCCTAAGAAGAATGGGTTATGTGAATCTAACGATTAGCCTTTAGGCATTGAGATTAAGGACTACCGCAGCAAGGGATTTCGGAGAACAAATGACCAAAAGTTAAGACGTTTCCAATCAGCTATCATTGACGTGTTGATATATGTCTAATTGTTTTATAGGTATATATATACATCTGCAGAAGATCCTGATGCAGTGGTACATCATGAATGCATCGCATGTGACTATCATTGTGTCGATGTCAAGGATTTGAAAGCACATATAACGCAAGATCATAACGGTATTACTTTAGTTGGCATGTAGTACTTAAACCTTATAGATATTTTTCATCCTTTATACTCTTTGTAGTGAAAAGCGATGAAGGTGTTCAGCTGACGTCAGATGGTAAGTAAAATATGTAAGCATAGCTGGAGCGTTTGTAAAAATATTAATGGATGGTCTATTGTTCATAAGATGACAGGGAGGTGGTAAGGTTTACAATATTGTAAACGTTGCATGCATATACGTATATTTTTCTGAAAAAAATGTTGGTAATATTATAGGAATCTCATCAACTCGATAACTTTAATGAAGAAGAGGAAGAAAACAACAACACTATTAGCGCGGTAGCACTTGAAGTGCTTACGAAGGCTTACAAGCTTATGCGAGAAGAACAGAAATGGAAGTTGTCCACTGGCAAATATGTGGAAGATGAGCTATACAAGTTTGCTAAGAAATGCGTGTATGATCAGTAAGTTGCTATGACAACTGGTAGACGATAAATGTAACTTTTAAAAATACATATTTTGTTAGTCCATCTCTTTCGTTCATCCTAGATCCTTATGATGCTACCTATCTACAGCAAGGTGTTTTCACAGAGGCCGAAATTGATGAGATGAAGGCCTGTAACCGTGTCATCATGGAACCTTTACAAAAGGATGTCATCGCTTATTTGAAGTTATTCAATTGTGTATGTGGACTATGACATAGTGCTACGAGGGATTATCATTTGCATTTTGCTAATGTTGTCTATTTGGTAGACTACAACAGAACAATTACGAATGGCATGTTTAAAGAATTTGGAATGGTACCAACCGTTCAATAGGAAAGAACACTTTTACCAAGACTGGATACGGAGGACCATTGACATGATGTAAGTAATCTGCTTGTGGGCTTGGAAGTTAAAGATTCTTGTGTTGATGGCTGTCTTTGTCGCAGGATTGCAGAATTTGAGGCTGGCAGTCTAAACTCACAACATTCCGAAAGCTGGTACATGGCTAGGATATGGACAATGATCGATAGAGTGTTTGCTGATGTTGAGGATCTGGAAACAGTACGGTAGGTCATTATTTATTATATGATATAATGTAAAAAAGATGTCATTATAAAGCTCTATCAAAAAATAGGGGGGAATCCAGTAGCATTGCAACTTCCACAAGAAAGAATCAAGACAGGGTGATAGCGTCAATGGTCAAAATGAAAAGAAAGGCAATGGGCAGAAGGGGCGACCTCATTCTTAGAAAGAATTCAGCTGAGTATGGTTGTGCTGAAGCTGGCGCCAAGGACGAAGGAAGTTGGGGAACGAAAAAGCTCATGGAGAAAGGAGTCAAGGCTGCCAAAACTTTGAAAGACATGTTGAATAATTTGTGTGACTTGGTTGACAACGTGGAATCGTCTGTAAGACAACTTCGCACCATTGGATATATCCTTTCTGGTAGGCTTATAATCATAGTATGCGTCAAGAAAATACATTATAATCAATGTTTTGTAATAGGTTTGTCCATGGAATTAATGGTTATGGATTCCCCAATGGGCTACTGTTGTCGGATCACAAGGTCCAAGTTGTATTCAGTACCTACAAGTGCTTTGCAAGTCAGGCGCAAATTACTGCCATTAATGTCAGCTCTGATATCGACAAAGGTAAGTTTGTGATTTCAGAATGAGGAATGAGCTTCAATACTACTTGGTACTCAAAGTTTGTTTTATTAAGTTGCTGGTGCTGAAAGTCATTAATGAGGTTGAGCACCATGATTTGGATGACGATGATTTGGAAGACTCTCTAGCAAATACATTTCAGGAAGAATCTTCAAGAATAGGATCTCCAAAACGTACAACAATTGTCTTTCCAACTTGTAATGTCACACCAACGAAAAGAAAGCAAAGTAGCACATGAATATAAGAAACTCTCTCTGGTAACTCTAACCCAAGGTTGCATATACCTAAGACCAGAACTCTAACGTCTCCCCACACGAAAATACAGATAATAAGTCATGAAAAGAACGATGTTTTCAGGAACTTGACTATCAATGATGTCCTTCATGAATATTTGTTATATCGTTAATGCATTTCTTAAACTTCAAACATCGCATATCCGAAGCTCCGCGAGACGTTACGAAAATCTGCCAGAAACAGAAAGTAGACAGTTTTCTTGAAGCTGACTTCCAACTGACAAAAGCAATACCCCCTTCGGTTACCGAGAACAAGAATATAAGGAGATATTTTAGTTATTACTGGTAGCAAATTCTGGTATATTTCTTGTTTGTGGCACTTGCGGATTATTTCCATGGAACCGAAGGACTGCCAAACTCTAGCGAAAATCCGTGGTGGTTTAAAGGATAATAAAATGGAGTTCTCTCATAAGACCCACTCTTTGCTAATCAAATAGCACTCTTCGGTCATTAAGTATAGTGTACAAGGCGAGACGTACAAATGACTGGTGGAAATGCCAATAGATTTTTTGTTCTTTCACGGTTCCACGTCAGTTCCAAGCATCCGCTATTATCTCACCAAAGCAAAGTACCATTTTTCAGTCGCAATCAGTCTTCCATGCTGCAACCAAAATACATGTGAGATATGAGATATCAGTAATTCACGCTCACATTGAGCACTCGCGATACGACCGATGTGAGCTAAAGGAATTTCAAATGTGTACATCGGAGACAGAACATAATAAGCACAAACACCGACTTTCAGAATAAACTTTCAACGAGAACTCAGTAGAGAGGTAGCTGTTCTTTTCTAGTTGTGATATAGATACTTGAGCAAAAAACTAGTATCCACTGGCATCGTCACATAACGCACGTAGAGTTTGCAGTGACACTGGTATCCTGTTTATTCAATGTACTATAATTCCTATTTCCTATAGAAAAACACAGAGCCTCGTAGTACGATAGCACGTAGTGAGACTCGATCATTGTCAAATCCAATGTGGTGTTTTGAAACTAGCTAGTGTCTTTCGCTTTGCAAAATTTGCGTACAATGCGTGATAAGCGGGAGAAAGTTTGCCAACGCCTTACATGTCTTTCATCATTTGCGTTTTTATCATAGCTCATGGTTACGATTCTGATCATCTTTTGCAGTTAAAGTTCCTAGGATTTCAATCATATTTGATTACCTGAAGCACACGTTGAACCAAGTTCAATGTACAGGTACGAATACTACAGTGTGATGTGACAACTATAGCGTATATTCTGATTGAATGGACTTCGAACAGATTACATCGATGGTATTTGACGATGCCAACGACAGTTCTTCCAATCAGCTATCTCTTGATAGCATTGGTCAGTGTCGCAAGCGAAGAAGGAATCAAAGCTGGGTTATCGCAAATCATTATGCAGAAACAGTAGACGTGAACTTCAAGTTGCTCATTAGGTGCCTTCATTGTTTGCAAACTATCAGCTACACACCAATTATACGAGTAGCCCAATGATTTCACATTTGCTTCGCCGACATGCTATAACTAAGAATAGTCCGGCACGCGCTGAGAATATTGACTTTGCAAATCCTCTCATGAACTCTTGTTTTTCAACGCACACAGACCATTCCATTTCCATCCGAAAAGTGAGATACCCTCACTGTTGACTTGATGATCGAATGCAGCTTTCGTTGAGCATCGTTGAAAAGCCAAGTTTCAGAAGGTTACTATATTATGCTCGGCATAGCACCCATGCCGAGATCAAAATGGCCGGCGCCGACACTCTTCGCAACCGTATCTTTCGCTGCTTTGATCTGAAGGTTGAAGAAGTTGAAATGATACTTAAGGCACAAGATTGGATAAGCTATACTACGGATGTTAGTACTGGCCCTTGGAGAGTTTTCTACCACGTAATAACAGCCCATTGGACAGATTATGATTGGGAAAAAGAAAGACTTGCTGATAGCCTTCATTCAAATCCTTGGATACCAGACAGGTAACCTTTTACGGCACAATTGCTTCGTTTTGCGATGTAAGTCTATGTATACTAAATAAATGTATCACAGGCGACAATCTAGCGACCATTTTTGTCGATGCAATTAAAGATTTGGCCATTACGACAGACAATGCTAGTAACATGCTCAAAATGGTTGAGAAGGTTGAGGAGATTTATTCGACGAAGCGATCACTTCCACGCTCAAGCTTGTGTTCATCAAATGTTTTATCTTGGACAAGTATTGAATCTTACCGTTCAGGATATTTTGAAAGCTGGGATAGGCATTGGTCCCGCTGATTATTTAGCAGATATGAGCATAGACAGTTCAAGAGGAAAACCGGTCGACAAGCTCAGGCAAGGTGTCGTATGGATCAGATCTAGCCCTCAAAACATAAAGCACTTCAGACGCTGTTGTCAAACATGGGACCTACCTGAACTACAGCTTTTCTTAGACGTCAGAACTCAATGGAATAGTACATACGAAATGATCCAAAGTGCAATTTTGCTTTCGTCAGCCTTTGATTAGATGATGGCAGTTGACCTGAGCATATGAGGCTATCTGTGATAGATTGGAAATATTTCAAGGTAGCTATGCTTATATTGGAACCGTTTGAGCAGTTAACAAACTGAGCTCTGCATTTCGATCCGCAACTATCACTATGGCAACAATATCATACGTGAACTTGCGGAATGGTCTCTCCACCATACAAGATATTTTATGTTGTTGGTATTGTCACAGTTAGTGTTAATTCTGACGATTTAAAGCACCTAATACTTCACTCGCACAGCAAATCAGCATAATCCTCGAACTGACTTACAATCGGTGTGACTAAAGCCATTGCCAAGTTGGACACGTACTTTAGCAAAACTTGAAATGGTTCAATATTGGCTACAGCGATAGCTTTAGATACTCGTTCCAAGTTTGTGTTCTGGGAAAATTCTAATCTCCAATGGCAGCATATCGATGCTGGCAGGGAGACAGTGCGCCTTGTTGCTCGGTACGATTTTAGGCCTCCTCCTACTAACTTATCACAGATACTGTTTCGGTAAGGCGTCGTTCAAGAATCAATTTACGGATTGATTTACCGAAAGAATATCGCCAGCAACGGATGATTTTTTTGATATGCTACAATGTTGAAAGATGAGAGAAGCAGCATATCCGAACTCAGTAAAATGGCGAGGAAACATTTGGATGTGTGTGCGAGCTCAACTCCAAGAGAACGTTCCTTTTCGCAAGCTCGATTATTTATCCCATATCTGCGAAATAGGTTGAAGCCTGACTGATTTCCTACTATGTTATTGTGGTCAAAAAAAAGGTTACCTAGGTGAAGACATGTAGCAGCATTCTCTTGAATTGAAGCGTTAGCGAACCCAATCAATCCAAAGCAAATAAAACAAACACTATCGAACATTGAACAACGTAACAAGTCTATACAGTCTGTACTAAAGGGGAGCTGTAAGCTTTGGGAACAAGTCAAACCCAGAATCCAAACCACAAGACAGTCACTTGATACATTTAAACCCAGAGTTGATACATTTAAACTCAGAGTTCATACCAAAAGACAGTCACTTGATACATTTAAACCCAGAG